GCTAGTCTTGAAAGACATTTACATGTTCCAGAGGTCTGCAACTAGTTGTAGTTCCTGTTCCTTAGCTGTCAATTTTCTATTTAATAGCAGATGTAAGGATCCCCAAAACCCTCAATCACATACAGTTACTGTGAAGGACTCTTTTTTATCAAGTAAATATAATATAAAGTATATTATGTGACTAGCATAAAATTGTTAGTATCTTACAAATGAAGGCAAATATACATGTCCCAGGATAATATTGCAAATCCAATCTGGGTCAGTCACTGGGACCAGAGGTTTTATCTTCCGAGCTTTCGGACTTGTCCTGGAGCCCTTCTTCAGGGAACTTCTCTCTAACAGAGTGTGTGCTGTTCTGTGTATGGTATTTATACCGCCTGTTGTAAGTGGCTTTTTAGATGTTCACTGGGGTGTGTTGATGGGCGGCTTTTAAGTCATTAGCTGTCATTTGTGCTGCTCAGCCCTCCCCTTCTAAATACTTGATAGGCTGGTGATAAATCAGCACTCCTGTTGACTGACAAGGGGCCTGTTTCCCAGACTTCAATCACTTCCCTGGCTGTTTTTGTGCCTGCTCGTCCAACAATCTTTAGTCACTGCAAAGTTGAATGTGTGCCCTTGTTCATTGCAGTGTGAAGCTACCAATGAGTTCGAGTCTCCTCATCTGACTGCTCGCTTGTGTTCTTGCAATCTGGTGGTTAATTAATCCAATGACTTAAAAGCCACCCTTCAATATACCCCAATCAACATCTAAAAAGCCACTCACAACAGGCACTATAAGATGGGCTCCAGCAGGAGTCCCACAGCTCGGAAGACAAAATCCCTGGTCTCAGTGACCGACCCAGATTGGATCCTGTTAGTATATTAGTTTAATTGTATGTTTGCAGACTGGGATTGATTTAATTTTTAAAAGTGGTTGTTCACTAAATGATGCAAAAAGCATGTTAACTTCATAAGTCTGCAGTATTATTCTGTATTATTCTATTTCAGAAGGAAGAGGGGAGTAAAAATGTGCGCTTGGGTGTACTAATTGGTTTGCTAGTAGAAGAAGGACAAGACTGGAAGCAAGCTGATATACCAAGTGATGCACCTTCCGAGTCTGTGACATCATCAGCATCAACAGCCTCTTCCCCAACTCTTTCTGCTACCCTCCCATTAGCGCATAAAAGAGAAGAGCACCCTGGAAAAGTACAGTAAGTCTTTGCGTACCTCATGGACTGATCTATTTCAGTACATATTTCTATTGAGTCCTCTATAGAATTTTGTATGTTTCGTGTGAGAAACTAGATTGTTGCTGATTCATAAAACCTCATATCTTAATATCCTATTCTAAAAGTTGCAGGATAATCAGAAAATAAGCAGAGTTTATATTTTAGCCTATCCTCTCACAACAATTTGTACTTTGTACTCTATTAATAGAGTTTATTGAATTCCCAACAATTCTAATTTCAGTCCATTTATTCTTAGTAATACTACTGGTAGCAGTGCTATAGTAGTAACTAGAGCTCTAAAAATGATACTTCTCTGTCCACTATCAATGGTATAGAAATAGGAAATGAAATAAGTGGAAGGACAAGCCTTTACATCAGTACAATTTTGGATGGAAAACTTTTATTTATTTACAGTGTTTATAGAACACTGACTCCAAGAAACTAACCGCCAAAACAACCAATACATCAGTAATCAATTCGATGTATCCATACAAATCCATACAATCCACAAAACAACAATAAAATATTCCAGCAGCTCAAGTCCAACCCCTAATGTCAGTATTATTATTGTGTTTTAGATATCAAAGGACTCATAAAATGTTCAGTCATGACTGCCATACAAAATTCAGCAAAATTTATCATTTTCATCTCCAGAGGCGAGGTGTTCCATATCAGGGACATAGATGCAATAAATCTTTTCTTATAAAATTTACTGTTGATGTATTGGTTGTCTTAACATTTCAATGAATATAAGAATAGAGATTTTTTTAAAAAAACTAAATAGACCAGGCTGTGGACAAGGTATTTTAAAAAATGACTAAAAGAAGTACCTGATATTTTATCCTGCACACTTCTGATCCACATTGCTTAATTCTTTCTTAATTTTAACTCATAGGATGTCTCTAATATATCCCAATATGATATTTTTCATTTGGTTAAAATTGTTAATAGATTTCAGCTTTTGGCTATAGTCGTATCTTTTTTTTAAAGTTGTCATATAACATTATAATTTATTAAAAGGCAAAATGGATGGAGTATTTTTTTTCATTTGTGGGTAATTCCTTTTGTGTCTGTAAAGAAGGAAAGCATTAATATTTGGGGCAAACTGTTATCAGTTCAGGAATCATCACTTTAAATCAAATATAACATACTTGCAACAAAGCAGTATTTCTTTCAAGATGGGTTAAACTGTGTCCTATCATTCTGGTAATTATCATGTTCACTAGAGTTAATTGAATTATATTAACACATCTGGAAAGTTTGTGTCTGCAAAGTATTCTTAAATATGGTTGTTGGCTGTTGCTTCCATAGATAAATTATTTTTAATTTTTAGAGATTATTATGTAAGATTTCAGTATCACTTTAATAATCAGATAGAATTGTTTTGACATTTAAATTTTAGAATAAACTATCAAAATATGAACTGTATGGTATATATATTTATTTAATAAATGATGTGTTACTTTTTTATATGTCCCCTTGATACAGTTGAACCATTGCCTTTTAGGTTTCGCTTAAGTCCCGCTGCCCGTAATATTTTGGAGAGACATGGAGTTGATGCAAGTCATTGCACACCCTCAGGACCTCGAGGAATTTTCACAAAAGAGTATGCAAAATGTGAACGTTTTCTTTACGTATCAAATTCTATAAAATATGTTCCTTCTAATTTTTGTAAGAATCAACAATATTAGTTGGTATCTTACTTTCCTAGCAAATGAAACTTTGTATCAGTTGTAGTAAGTCAAAAACAGAAAGGGGTACGGGGATGAAGGAATTAGTTTGTCAGTTAAAACTGTGACGGTGGTGGTGTAGAAGTGCCAGGAGAGTATTTTAAGTTACATACTGAGTAAAAACATATGGTGAATCATACAGATACAGAAATAATAGAATTTAGGTGGAAAAGTAAGGGGGAGAAAGAGAAAGGGTGAACCAGTGTTTTTCAAACTTGACAGCTTTAAGGTGTAAGACTTAAACAGTTTACAGAGCAAATACTGCACCATGCCAAAATTAAGTTTAATATTGGCTTGGCAGCATTGAGGGAAATTAGAAGATCATTAAAGAGATGGATGAATGAGTTCAAGTGGACTGTTGCGATGTATTTGGAAGAGCAATAGTTATCACCAGGGACAAGCAGGCATCTTCCCATACAGCCACCAAAGGTTAGGCCTGAGTCACTGATACCAGACTAAAGTCATATAGAATAAAAAAATTACACAAACATTTAAAGCAGCTGATTTTTGTTGGAAAATGGATACTTCAAGATTGAGCCGTACAGACTTCTCTTTCACAAGCACCATAAGGTTTTCTTTCATCCAGCTCCTCACTGGCTGCCACAATTGTGAAAATGCTATGCTCTGAAAGGAATTAAATCAGTTACAGCAGTGGTTTCTGATTCTATTTATAGAATGGCGGGGCCATTTACACAATCAAGCAATCCTATCAGGGTTGCATTGCCTCTATTTGCACTGAAATTAATTGAAAGACACTTTGGAATGATGGAGCTTGTATGGAGCTGTGTATCATACAGACTCCTTGGTAATAAAAGATTTTAGAGCTTACGCAAGAATCCTTATCCAGCATTTTCTAAATCAGTTATAGTAGTTGAAATTATTATGCTTGGTGTTGTGTCCCGGGACTTGCAGCAAGCAAGCCCGGGCGGTCGCCATGGCAACGGGCTGCGGAAGCTGCCCGGGGCCAGACAAACTGGCAACAGCTTGTGCGCATGCGCGGGAAAGCGCGCGCTCTGTAACGAGTTTACCCGGACCGTTTGTGTGGCTCTCAGAGCCGGTTGTAAGCTGAGAAGAGAAGCAGGAGGCC